CTTCTCCTTTTCCCAGCTTGAGGTCCAGCAGGTGTGAGGGCCAATCCCTGGACCAGTGCTTCCCACTTGCCCCCCCTTCTAGGCAGGAACCACAGAGCAGTGTGCAGGCACCAGGGCGGGTCTGGGAAAGGTGTTGTTTTTGTGGGGGGTCCATTGGAGAGTTGCTACCACCTTCCCTTTTGGGTTTCTGGCAGGGTAAGATTTTCCGAAACAGATCATCTGAAGTTCCTTTGGTGTCATGTAACCCAGTCCAGGGCTCTGAGTCTTGATCATGTTTTTTTGTTTTTGTTTTTTTGTTTTTAATCCTTGAAGTCATGGCAAAAAGAGCAAAGGACACTTTCTTTAATCAGCCTGGGATCAGGAGTCCCCAGACCTTGGGCTTTAAAAAACTATTCAGTTAATCATATCTCATAACCATTAATAATAATGATGCTAAGTACTTGAACAAACACTTTGCCATTCACAAAGCTCTTTCATATTTTTTTCTTCAGTTTTCCCAAAGTCCTTGTGAGTGTCCTCTGTCCTGTGTCCCATACCGGGCTGCCTCAGATTCCAAGACACAGCCCAGCCCAGGGAGCAGCCTCCCCCATTGTTTCACAGGCATTGGCACTAACTCTGGTATTGATAAGAAAAGTAACATTTATTGAGCACGTACACATCATTGTAGTAGTAATGACAATTACTAAGCTTTATTAAGTGTTTACTGGAGTTGAGTGCCAGGAGTCATGGTGAGCACTTGGAACCCTGTCTAATGAAAGTTGGCAAGGATTCTGTAAAGAAGTTATTTTTATTATTCCTGTCTCACAGATGGGGAAACTGAGGTTAAGGGAGGTTAGGTAGTTTGTCCAAGAGCACACAGTTGCAAAGTGGCAGAGCGAGGATTTGTGCCAGGCCTGGGTAACTTGAAAGCAAAGATAGGTCCTCCTGTTAATGTGGGGAGCAGTGGGCTGAGCTTGCCCTGGGGGTCTGCCTCTCCCCTTTCTGAGCCCTTTTCTATGCTTTTTAACACCGGCCCCTGCTTTAGACATCAAGGATTGACTAACTTTTTCTGTAAAAGGCCAAATAGTAAATATTTTAGGCTGGGGTGAGGGTCGGGGGTATAAGGTCTCTGTAACAACTCTATGAAAGGGCAATGTTGTAGCCTAAACAAGATGTAGTAAGTGCAGAGAGCAGTTGAGGTGCAGTCACTCGTCTGCTGGAACCATCCGTGGCTGCCCATTGCCTGTAGACTCCAGTTCAGACTCAGCCTGGATTCAAAGTCCTCCTCAGCTCGGCTCTTTCCAGTCTCTTCTCCCATGAAACTGCCCTTCTCCAGCTCTGGCAGTCCCTGAATGTTCTCTACGGAGCATTCTCACCTGTGTGTCTTTTATTCCTGCTGCTTTTCCCCTTTGAAATGTCCACCATAGTCCCTGTTTTTTATTCCCAAGTAGCTCTCCTTCTTGCTGATGGCTTGAAATTCCACCATGGGGAGGACTCTCCGGTTTTGGGTGATTAGGATATGTGTCAACTAAAAGAAGTCCAAATGTGTCCTTAGCATTGGCAGCTTGATGTGAGCAGGATCAGCGTAGAGAGGGTTGCCTGTGGCCAGGCAGGTTATTTGTGTCTGTGGCCACCAGGTGGGGGGCAGAGGTGCTGGCCATGGCCCCTCAGAATTTATCAGCTGTTTACTTTTGTGTTGTTTATGTAAGTTTTTAAAAAATAGGATAAATAAATTACAAAGATCCACACGTAAGAGTGAGGCAAGTAGCTTAAATGAAGGCAAGTAGCTTAAATCAACTAAGATTATACCGTTAACTACACAGCTAGGTAAATCACGGTGCCTTTCTGTCTAAGCCTGAACTTCATCTATCCCATTGTATAGCCTCAGACGCCTACATTTCCCCCCTGGTGTCTGATAGATTATTTTCGATGCCTTTTAAAAGTTTCACTTTCATGTGTTGATTTTGCCTCTTTCATTTTCTATCTTTAATTATGATGTATTCTTAGTCTTGGTGATATTTCACCAGAATTTCTAAACTTAAATTCATCTTCTTGCCCATTCAAATCAGAGCAAATATTTTTTTCATTCTCTTTTCTAGAAAGTGAAAAATTCAGTATCATTGGCTTTCCTCCTCTTCATTCTCTCTTTTAAATTATTTTAGTCTAAGGGTTTGATTTTCCTCTTTTGTTCTCTAAACTTTTTCTTTTGCAAGATTTTTATTTTTTTGGTCTGCCTTAGCTTGTTTTGGTTCCAGGTGCACCAAGTAATCAGACCAGTACTTCTCAAACTTGGGTGTGTGTCAGACTCCCCTGGAGGGCTATTTACAACCAACCACTCAACCATGCCCCCAGGATTCTGATTCCATAGGTTTAGGGTGGGGCCTGGGAACCGGCTTTTCTAACAAGTTCCCGCTGATCTGGGGAACCCCACTTTGAGAACCACTGAATTTGTTTCATAAACAACCACCCTCCTCCCTTTGGTGCTAGGACACATTGCAGACCAATAGCTCTATTCTGCATTGATGGTGGTATTGGTGTAAGAAATGTCCAGACCTGTAGAGACTTTTTATGAGTTCTTTTGAGTCAAACTGACTATAGTTGCTTGGAAGCAAAATCTCAACAGGTTGAGAAAGTGCTTTGGAAAATGGCAGTTTATTTCATACGTTAGCATCAAAGGAGGAGCCATAAGGGGGGTTACATGAAATCCATTGGTGGTCGATTAAGGGGGTGAGATAGGTAAAGTAGGGAAATCTCTGGGATTGCATGGAAAGCAAAATGGAGAGACATATACTTATTTTACATTGGTGGGTACAGGATAGTTACATTTACAACACACACACATGGTATTCAGGGAGCAATATGGCAATGAGGGGTTTGGTCTCCCACTTATTTTACATTGGTGGGTACAGAATAGTTACATTTACAACACACACACATGGTATTCAGGGAGCAATATGGCAATGAGGGGTTCCCTGGTCTCCCAGCAGTGGGTGTGCCCTGAGGGGGTCTGGGAAAGAACATTACTCATATTTCAAAGGCATGTTATCTTAGTTACAAAAAGGCAATACACAGGCTCACTTGAGGTAAAGATTAACCTTTGTCAAGGAAGCTACAGGCCTGTGATGTCACTACCTGCCATAACCAGCTTTTAGTTCGGAATTTTTATGATCAGACCATCCTATGTAGTTCCTTTCAGTCTCTGAGTCTGTAAGGCCCGCCATGCAGGCCTCCCCTGAGCTTGTCAGGTCTCATCCATGGTGGCATCTAGATCTCGAAACTCCAGCATTCCCATGAAAAATCCTTTCCTGGATTTAGCTTTTGAGTCCTGGAGTTATTTTTTGAAAACTTTTCCCAGAAGAGACGGAAGACCAGAGGATTTTCCCAGCCTTTGCAGTTGCTTCGCTCATGAGGTTGTGGTTGTGAATAGAATCCTTGGGAATACGATTTTCCTTGGGTTTCTGGAGGTGCTGCCAGTCCTTCTCTGTTGATGGGAGATGTCTGAAGTTTGTCTGATTTAAGTCCATTGAAAGAAACCCAGATTTTTCTCTCCTCCTACTACGTAGAAGTATTTAGGGTTAGGACTTCTCTTTCTCTTTGAAGGTTAAATTTGTGACATTTTTGATAAGTAATGTCATGAAGTTGATTGCTGATCACTAATTCTGCCTGAAACTCAATAAGTCTTCAGGATAATGGCTTGTACACAGGGCCTCATTTAATTTTAGTGTCACTTTTTTTGGGGGGGGGGGGTAAAAGTTCATTGTCATGTCAAAGCAGTGCTCTTAGGGGCATCTTCACAGATAGCATCCACTTTCTGGCCACCATGCCCTTGCCTGTGTCATTCCCTCCTCCCTGCCCTGCCTGGAGCATTCATGAGCATCCTTCAGGTGTCAGCTCCAACGCTGGTTTCTCTGGGGCCCAATGTGATTCGCTCCTAGAGAGTTGCATTCCTCCTCAGTGTACCCACCTCATGGTGCCACTCATTTTATTTTTGTGTTCCCAGTGCCTAGCCTGGTGCCTGGCACATGGCTGTGGTGGCAGCCAGCAATGTACTGGGCACTTAACTATGTTCTGGGCACTCATTAATCCTTACAGCATTCCTGTGGAGTTTGTGTACGCTTGTCCCCACTTAGAGATTAGGAAACAAGTTTGGGGGGAGTTAAAATCATTTGTCCCTGATGGGGCTAGAATACAAACACGGTCTGGCAGCTTCCAGACTCTGCGCTCTTGGACTCTGAGCTGTAGGCACTCCCACCTACTGGGTGAGTGGTGAACCAACAGGTGGCTGTGGGGCAGCTCCTGCTGGTGGAAGCATGCAGTGGGAGGTGTTTGATGAGAGAATGACCTGGAGCCTTCCAGGGCTGGCTGAGACTGGCAGGGCTTGGGGGCAGTCTGAGTGCACAACCAGAGCAAGGATGTGGAAGGAAGACAGATTTTGTCTCTTTATTATATTTTTTTCTTAATCCTTACCCAAGGATATTTTTTCTGTTGATTTTTTTTTCTTAGAGAGAGTGGAAGGGAGGGGGAGCAACATAGAGAGAGAAATATGGATTGGTTGCCTCCCGCATGCGCCCGGACCAGGGCTGGGGAGCCTGCAACCGAGATACATGCCCTTGACTGGAATTGAATCTGAGACCCTTTAATCCTCGGGCTGATGTTCTAACCACTGAGAAAGACTGGCTAGGGCCAGAGGATATTTTTTTCCATTGATTTTTAGAGAATGGAAGGGAGGGAGGAAGAGAGGGAGAAAGAGAGAGAGAACCATTGATGTGAGAGAGACACATCGGGATTGAACCTGCAACCTAGCTACGTGTCCTTGACCAGGATTCGAACCTGTGACCCTTCAGTGAATAGGCCGACATTCTAACCACTGAGCATACCAGCCAGGGCTAGACTTTGTCTGTTTAGTACTCTGTCTGTGGCCCAGCTCCTGGTGCCAGAAAAAAGCTGCTCTCAGGAAACCGTGGTTAGCACTCCGGTCCTGATGCTCTGTTCTCTTTCTCTCTGCACCCCAACCCCTGCAGCCTCGGCTTTCATCATCGCCATGCTCCTGGCCAGCCTCAACAGCTGCTGCAACCCCTGGATCTACATGCTCTTCACGGGCCACCTCTTCCACGAGCTCGTGCAGCGCGTCCTCTGTTGCTCCTCCAGCTACCGGAGGGGCTCTCGGCCTGGGGAGACAAGCGTGAGCAAAAAGAGCAACTCCTCCACCTTTGTCCTGAGCCGGCACAGCTCCAGCCAGAGGAGCTCCTCACAGCTCTCCTCCCTGTGACCAGCCTGGCTGACTGCCTCTTTCCATCAGGTTGTGCGACAGGACAGTCCGCTCCTTGGTGGCCGTGGCCATTGATGTATAGGTACCTTTCAGTTTGTACACCTCCGCACCTCGGGGCAGCTTGCGTGGGGTGGGATCCTGACACAGGAGGGGAAGTGGTCTGCACGGGGGCAGGTGATAGGGTGACTCAGTCACCAGACTGTCCTGGGAGCTCCCCTGGTTCCCACAGCTACTTCTGCTGCCCCCACCCCACTGCTGCCTGGCTGCTGGGCGGGTTGTTTGTGTTTTCCGGGCCTGTACTTTCACTCCAGTATCTCTTTTCTCCTTTACTCTGTGATCTTGTGAAAAGTAGTAAGTGTACAGTTGGTGACCAATTATATATGGAAGCCTAGTGTCCTGAATTTGGAGTAAGGAGTGGGAGCAGGGCCTCAGATGGGGTGGTGGTGCTCATAGCCTCCTGACCCCAGAGAGTGTGTGCCTCTGCATGGCTGACCCAGCATCCTCTTGTCAGAGGATGGCCCTGGGAACAGGAGTTTGGCACAAGCAGCCGATTAAAACTTGGATTTAAAATGTTTAACAAGCTAATATTTAAGTAGCAAGTGGGAAAGAAAGAAGTAAAAGGGATCCAAATTGGAAAATAAGTAAATCTCTTTGTAGATGACATGATATTTTATTCATAGAAAATTCTAAGGAATGTGTACACATACACACACCCATTAAAATTAATGAGTTCAGCAAAATTTCAGAGTACAAGGTCATTATACAAAAATCAATTGTATTTCTTTTTGTTTCTTCTTTTTTTTTTTTTTGCTGGGTACAGTGAATATTATTGATGGTACATGACAAGGTAGGGCTCCCTAAGCCCCTCCCCTTCTTCAGGGGGTCTGGGTGGAAACTTTGGAGGTCAGGAGATTCTCAGTGTGCTGGGGGATCAATTTCGGGCAAGGACTCCCCAGCAGCTGAGGGCCTGTCTTCCTCTCACTGGGGCTGGTGGTCCAGGGGGCTCTGACTCCTTGGAGGCCATGTGGGCCATAGGTCCACCACCTGTTGCTGTAGCCAAATTCATTGTCATAGCAGGAAACGAACTTGATGAAGTGGTCATTGAGGGCAATGCCAGCCCAGCATCGAAAATGGAGGAGTGGGTGTCACTGTTAAAGTCGCAGGAGACAACCTGGTCCTCAGTGTAGCCCAGGCTGCCCTTGAGGCGCCCTCTCATGCTTGCTTCACTACCTGCTTGATGTCATTGTATTTCTTTATACTAGCAATGAACAATATGCCAATAAAATTAAATAATTAAATTTATAATAGTATGAGAAAGAATACAAAATAGAAATAAATTCAATGAAAGAAATAAAGACTTATACCTTGGAAACTACA